GAGAAGCTGACCTCTTGTTTATTTTTTTAGTAATGGTAGTTATGGTAAAACCAGTCAACAAAATTGGATAGGTGATAGTCCGTCCCTGAGACTTTAAACAAGTGGGTCGCATTTGACACCCAACAATAATCTGCCACATTATTTGGTTCACCGGCCTTGTATTGTCATGTTTAAATGCAAGCTGCAGACATGCTTGTTTGTCTAGGCTTCTTGCTATATCAAGATTAGTCCAGATGTTTGTTTAGGAGGAGAAAGGACTCCAGTCATTTTTGGAAGTATTCAAGGTTGCAACTTCGCTGTCCGGCCTTTCCATTTGCTTGAGATTTGCATTGGCTGCAATGACAGTACGTAGTCGGCTGATTAACTATGAATGGAGGCTTAGCTAATTGACTCGGTAATTTCTTAATTTAAGTGAAGGTTCGTGGAGAGATGCAGAGTCTAGATCTTGGCAATGAAAAAGAGTCTGTCCCCCGGTTCCTCCCTAACTTGTCTGCTGCGGAAGAGACTGTTTGCTTAAGATTCTAATTAGATCTAGAAGGTTGAATAGTCTAAAACAGGATTTAACAAGCGAAACTCGTCTAAGCGGCTACAGAAGTTCATGAGCTGTTGTCATTTGATCAGGCACTATGAAGAAGATTGTAAAGACAAGAGCGGACTTGATACGAGAAGGGGATGCCCTCGGCTGGACACCTCTCCATTATGCTGCTCACTTCGGCAATGACAAAGCGGTTAGATTGTTCTTAAAGAAGGATAGTTCAGCGGCTTACATCCGAGGCAAGAACGGGGAATCGGCCCTCCATATTGCGGCATTTAAAGGCCGCACTTCCGTCATGGAAGAGGTCCTAAAAAATCGTCCTGACACTTGTGAATTGCTAGACAACAAGGAAAGAACTGCTCTCCATGCTGCTGTTTTAGGAGGGCAAGAGAAGGCCGTTCAATTCATTTTGGGGCTCCCGAAGCTTGTGGGCCTTGTGAATGAAGTGGACGAAGATGGGAACACGCCTTTACATCTGGCTGCCATGGACAAAAAGTACAGCATCATAGCGATCCTTGCTCGGGACAGCCGAGTAGACATAAAAGCCACGAACAAGAAGAACTTGACGGCCCTCGGCATTTATAGTAAATATCAAGAGGTACGTTATCTTCTGTTCGGTAGCTCTTTCTTGTTGTCACTTAACAAGAAGGTAGGCCATGAAGCAAAGGAATCCTGTTTCAGTTTAGGATTAGCTTCCATAGACTACACCAATGTCTTGAATGTTGGTTGAAGATTTCTGCAGCTGATCGACCACGAAGCCTAAGGACTTAAATTTGTGCTAAGTGCATTTATGCTGAACTACAAAGAGACAGATACCTAGCTCATCGTCATATGAAAACTTTCTACCTTTTCTTAGTTAATAAACGGACCATTTTGACAAGGCAGTGCATGTATGCATCAAATTAGCAATATGTGAATAGTATTCAGACCCTTTGCTGAAGTGCATATCATGACTATTGTTCCTTGTATGCAGAGTGGCTTTGCAGCTGCGAAGGTTTATTTCATGTTGAAAGAGACCTACGGCCTACAAGACATGCAAGCCTGGGTCAACACGAACGTAAAGAAGATGCTTAACGGAGGACCCGATGAAATAGTCCCGACTGAGAACTTCGGCCACAAAGAGACCTCTTCTCACGAAAAAGGCAACATGCTGGAGATCCACCTCCTCGTTGCGATGCTCATAGCCACAGTCACCTTCGCAGCTGCCTTCACGATGCCCGGCGGCTACCACAACGACGGACCAGACGAGGGGATGGCCAGTCTCACCTCGCATCTGGCTTTCAAGGCATTCGTGATTTTCGATACTTTGGCGTTTTGCTGCTCGGTCGCCGCCGTGTATCTCCAGTTTGGGACTTCTGGCGGGGGCTACTACGAGCGAGCCCGGTTTATTAAGGTTGCCGTCGTGTTCATCTTCATCGCGATACTGGGGATGGTATTAGCATTTGCGTCGGCAATGTACATAGTGCTGGCCAAGTGCATCGGCCTCGGATTGACAGCTTACGTAACGGCCGGGTGCTTTATCTTGACATTCTTTCTCCGGTGGTTCGTGGATCCATTAGGGAAGCCAGATCTAGGATTAAGCCGATTGAGGAAGTATCTACGGAACTTTCTCTTCCGTTATGGAATAATTTAATCAGCATTTGTATAATCCACGTTACGATTCTTATTCTGTAATTATCTTTGCTAGGATGATACGAATCGTGTAAATTATTGTTAGAATAAATGAACAATGTGCCTTATCCTTTTGATATTTAGCATACCACCTTATGTGAATAAAAAGAGAAATGGAAGTATGAATGTACGTTACTACCCTTCTAGGCCAAGATGCAACATTTAATCTGCAAAGGATATTATGGGCATACACAAAGTGAGATTGGGGATTACAAGTAAGAAATTTACGGCTCAAATGTGGAGAAAAAGGTCCGATTTCTTGAGTAAGCTTCTCGGGGAAAAGTGTCAGAAAAATCCTAAACCTATTGCATTGGTACTAATTTAGTCATAAACCTTATTTTTGTGCCAATTTAGTCATAGACCTTTTAAACTAGTGCCAATTCAGTCCTTCCGGCTAATTTTGGCTGGATTTTGCTGACGTAAACGCTGGTCGGTCTACGTGGCACCGCCGGCACTGACGTGAATAATTTTTAATAATATTTTAATATTTTTTCAATTTTTAAATTATTTTTTTCTGATTTTTTTCTTTTTTTTTTCCTTTCTTCCTCCCTCCCTCCCTTTGCCGGTGACCGGCCACAGGAGATGTCCGGCCACTGGCCAGGCTGGGTGAGCCCCAGCAAGGGCTCCCCTCGCTAGATTTGGCCTGGGAGAGGCCGACCCCTGCCTGCCCGAGCGCGAGCTCTGGGGAGGGCTCAAGCCTCGCATTGGCCTAGGCGAGGCTCGCCCTCGCCAGTGGCCGGGGGGGTTCGCCAGAGGCCCCCTGGCCTCCAACCGGTCGTTGGATCGGCAATCGGTGACCGACTGGAGGACGAAAAAAGGAAAAAAAAAAATTAAAAATAAAACAAAAATAAAAATCGAAAAATATTAAAATATTATCAAAAGTTATCTACGTCATCGCCGGCGATGCCATGTAGGCCAGCCGGTGTCCACATCAGCAAAATCGGGCTAAAATTATCCGGAAAGACTAAATTGGCATAAAGATAAAAGGTTTAGGACTAAATTGGCACCAATGCAAAAGGTTAGGACTTTTCTTACACTTTTCCCAAGCTTCTTGACTTAGTATCATACTTGACTTTTATAAGCCTTTTCTCAGCAAAAGATTCAAAAGCAAAGAAACAAATCTTTCACTCGAAACCTGCCCAATGAAGAGACTATTTGCCAAAACAAGCCGAACCTTGGCCTTCGCGGTGGCTGAAAGTTTCACCGAGGATATCTTCATCGAGATACTCTCGAGTCTACCGGTCAAGTCCTTGATGCGATTCAAATTCGTCAATAAACGGTGGCTGTCTCTAATTTTCGACCCGGGCTTCGCCAAGTCACATTTGCAAAGGCTACAGGCAGGGGATATGATTCCTAGCCAGAGAATCATCAAGAGCAGCCCCCTTGAGACCAAAGACTACGAACTGTTCGACGGTGGCATTGGTGGCGATGAAGGTAACGCGGTGGCAAAGTTTCATGAGCTGAGAATGGACAATCCTAGCTTGGAGCCCAATCTCATGGCGTCTTGCGCTGGCTTGGTCTGTTTAGTTGTCCACAGCGGATTCCTCCTATACAACCCGACCACCAAGGAGTCTAGGATTTTGCACAGTTCCAATCTTGTTCCAGGAGATATGTTCTTCCATGGATTCGGATACGACTCTACATCTGATGACTATAAAATAGTACAAAGCAACAGTACTAAGAATTATCAGGTGGCGACATTCTCGCTCAAGTCCGGTTCTTGGAGAAGGATCCGAGTTCAACAAGAAAGCCACCTCGCCGACTATTGAGGAGTTTTTTGGGAAGGGGCCTTACACTGGTGCGGGGTTGACCAGAGCCAAAATAAGAAAGAGACTTCAATTATGTCATTCGATTTGGCATAAGAGAAATTCCACCAGGTGCTTTTAGTCCCTGAAGTTGGTGCGGACATAGTTTTTGAGGGACTCAGGATTCACTGTGGCGCCTCAGAACGTCATGTACGACACGTGTCATTTTTTAATATAACTCATAGTTATTATTGGCATGCGGAAGCATAATGAAACACATCGCACGAGAAACATTATTGTTAGTTTCTAATAATTACACATACAATTTTTTTCCATTAGTATCCCTCTTCCAAGTATTAATACAAGCACCACAAGAAACAAAATACAAGGCATTAGCTCTGGGAAGTCGATCGGGCCTCATCAATATTACCCCATACTCCTGTATCCAAATACTTGCCTATACAAAACCACACTAATGACTACGGGTCGACAACCTTGCCCATTGACATGTCACCGTCGACATCAAAAACTGTAACGGTCCAACCAGCTCACCATCGATATTCAAGTACCAATCTACAAATCGATGGGGAATCCAGTATAAAATCCCATGTCGACCCACACAGTGAAACTACACTCAGTATAAACTACAGCAGAACCAGGTACTAACACATCTGTTGAGAAAATCTCTTATATATTTTGAAGTTGACAAAACTATTCATGGTTTATATCGATCTTAATAAATGCAAGAAGTGTTTATATTTCAAGTAATATTCACGTTGAAAGGATTCTTTATATTAAAAGATCTATTGAATAAGTCTAGATGAATGGGAATTCTATATTGACTTGAAAGCATCAAGATCCTATGTCTATAAAATCCACATCATTATCGTTGTAAAAGTATTTTGGAAAGAACAGTTGAAAATATCCAATAAGCAAAAGCAACGTACTACGTGGATATTAGCAATTGTACTGCGTGAATATCAGCAAGTTACCTTGATGAATATTAGTAGGGAAACTATATGAATATTCGCAAGGCTACTAAGTGAATATTATCAGACAACACTAGATATCATCATAATGAGGTTTTGCTTATATTCAAGCTATCTCAACCTAAGCACAAACTTAAAATACTGCCAACACCTAAAATTACAATTGTATGCTCACGGAAGACAAATGAAAATATGCGAAGCTCTCTTGAAATCTAGAATTGTGAACTTTTGATCTCACATATCTTCTTTAGCGTCTTGGTCTTCTTTAATACTCCTCAGCTTCCAAACTTCTCGTTGGACAATCTTCAGAGGATCAATATATAATCTACCCATTGGACGATTATTATGAAGATAAGGTAGCCGTTGAGGTCGATCAATTGGAATCCCCGTAGATTTGGTCTCCCATGCAATCAAATCTTGATTCCCAAAAATAGAGTAGCTCGCATACAGAAAGTACTTCGTCTTCATGATGATTGCCAATCCACAAAGATGTTACACGTATCAGAAATCTTTCACGTAGATATATTTTGAGATTGATAATCAATAATATTCTTTCACAATTGAAATTCATGCCAAATCACTAGCTATCAAGGGATAAGATAAAATATCTCAATATAATAATCTTGAAAATCGTGACAAGAACTTCATCATAGGTAATATAGGTATTTTCCTAATATTCAGCTATTACAATACTCTGTTAATATCTGGCGTATACCCTGCTGATTTCCAGCTTTTGCTTTGTTGATATTCAGCCTTTGCCTTGCTGATATCCATGCAGTACGTTGCTTCTGGCTTCTTGGACACGATCAATTGTTCTTTCCAAGATACTTTATCAATGATAACGATGTAGATTATGTAGACAAAAAACCCAAATATCTCCAAGCTAATATGAACTTCCCTTTTTCTCTAGACTCGTTCATGAAGGTCTATTAGTCATGAAGAATCCTTTCGGCATCAATATTACCTGAAGCACATACACTTCTTGCATTTTATTAAGATCAATATAAACCATGGAAAGTTTTGACAACCTCAAAATATATTATAATTTTTCTCAACAGACGTGTCATTACCTAAAACATAAACATTTCTTGATTGAGCTCTGGCTCTGTTGGCTCTCGCTCGAGCTTGGGCTCTGGCTTTGATCTTAGTTGGGGATGGTGAGGACAAACGCCCAAAACCATCCGAATATGTCTAGTTCTGATACCATGTTGAAATTTAGATTTTGTGCGGAAGCATGATTTTGATATCGGTAATAGTTTTTTGTTAGTGATGTGCAAATGTATATGTCTGTAGGATATATTGTGTAGAGGATGAAATGGGTAGGATAGAGTATTTTAAAGGATATAGACAAGGTTTCATGGAACAAGAATAGTTTGATTTGTTGATAGAATGGATATTACAATAGTTGGAGGAGATGGTGCTGGAGAAACTAAGTTTATTTTCATGCTCCTCGCCACAAAGTCAAGGGTTAACTCCCACACCCCTCGAATGGTTGAATTACAAGCTATTTATAGGCAATTACAACCGACTTAGCTCTGCAAATACCTCTGCGAAGTCTGCGATTTTTCTTCGTGTCCACCGCCCTAACTAACGTCCACCACCAATCTCTGCAGGTCAGAGATATCTCTTACTTTTATTCTTATCCACACATTACTAAAAACTTCAGCATTTCTCTGGACTATTCTTCATATGTCTAATCCTAGAAGACTCTACCAATTGGATCACAAATTCCAACAAAAGAAGCATAGATTCATCAGCCGAGTCAATTCCATTCATCAGAGAGAGAGAGTGTGTTCATTACTGGGAATTTATTGAGAAGGCAACACTCTTCATAGTTACATTTATCCCAAATTCAGGTTGCCCGAATTCCGGGGACATATCTGAGCCCTCAAAGGGTTCTTCATCACCATGGTTAGCTCCAGCTTTTCCGACAAGTCGACCTCTTCGCCCGCCACCTTCTGCCACCGGAACAGCCACACCAAGTTCGCCACGAAGTACTCCAAGTGCAGTATGGCAAGCCCGTATCCGGGACAGATCCTCCTCCCCACCCCGAAAGGCATCATCTTTATCTCCCTGCTCCCCGTGATGTCGAACCCCCTGGCTTCGCAATTCAAGAACCTCTCGGGCTTGAAGGCCATCGGATCCTCCCAGACTTCCGGGTCCCAACCCATCTCCGCCACCGTGAAGTTGATGGTCCCGTCCTTGGGAATCACGTACCCGCCCAGCTCCGCGTCCTCTGTCACCGCGTGCGGCGCCACGAAGTGCGCCGGCGGGTGGCGGCGCAGCCCCTCCAGCACCACCGCCTTCAGGTAACCCATCCTCTGCAGGTCCTCCTCCTTCACTCGCTCCACCCCGTGTCCCACGACTGATTTGATATCATCATAGAGCCTCTCTTGGATTTCTGGGTACTTGACCAGGTTGGCCATGATCCACTGCAGCGCCGTGGACGTCGTGTCGGTGCCGGCGTTGAGGAACTCATTGCAGAGGCTCACCATCTCGCCCTCCTCCAGCTTTCGCTTCTCCTCCGGCAGCTCCAGGTCCAGGAGCGTGTCCACGTACGATAAGATCCAATCGCCGTCGTCGTCGTTCCTGTCCTCCTTGGCTTTGCTGACCTGCTCTCGCTTGGCCTTGGATCTAGCTCTGATGAGCGGCACGAGGACGCGCTTCCGATTCTCGTAGAGCTCGTGGAACTCCTTCCACCGTTTCCGGAGCACGAGCTTGCTCAGCCTCGGCCAGTAATTGAGCACGTCGAATCGCCGCATATGCAGAATCAACCGTCGCTGAACCTCCTCGATCTGCTTAATCTGCTTCTCCTCGAGCCTGTCTCCGAAGCACATGAGGACCAGCAAGCAGAACATGGCGTACTGGAACTGGTCGACGACGCGGACGACGCCGCCAGGCTGGGACTTGAGCTCCCCCACGAGGATGTCGAGGACCCACGCGCGGGAGCGGGAGTAGGAACGGAGGCGGGAGGGATGGAGAATCTCCGCCGTGAGGTTCCGGCGGAGAAGGCGCCAGGTGGGGCCGTAGGAGGAGGAGTTGATGTTGTGCTGGTTGGCGGAGAGGATGTGGTTGGTGGCCAGGGGCGGCGGGCGGTCGGCGAAGACGGCGCCGTGGCGGACGAGAGCCTGGTGGGCGAGGGCCGGGGAGGAGACGTAGACCGCGGGGCGGGGGCCGATGTGGAGGGTGACCATGGGGCCGTGGCGGGCGTGGAGGGAGCGGAGGACGGGCTTGAGCTCCGAGGAGGACTTGCGCAGCCATAGCAAGTTGCCGATGAAGGGGAAGGTGAGGGGGCCCGGCGGGAGGCTCTTCTTCTTGGCGGCGGAGGAGAGGAGGTTGACGGTGGCTCTGAGGAGGGCGGTGACGGAGAGGGTGACGACTACGAGGAACCAGAGATCCATCTCTTGCCAAAGCGACTTCAAGTTCATGAGTGATTTGTTCGTTTCATATAAGCATATGGAGTTTAGATGACAACTTTACACAAAACAAAAACAATAATGGATGCCGTCCTACTATTCCTATTAGTAGCGGATTTCTCTAAGCAAATAATATCTTCAAATTTTAAAAAAAAAATCACAAATTTTTTCAATATTATGTCATGATTGAAGAAGTCTTAACTCACCCTCTCCGTTTCTGCCATTTTCTATTTTTTTTCATTTTTTTTCATTATTTAATAATGTTTTAATCTTAAAGTGAAAGGATTTCCTTACAAGTTACATGTTAATATCATATGTCAATTCTTATATTTCTAAAAGGAAAGTTACATAATTTTAATTCTATTTTAGATTAACCGTAATTAAAAAGACAAACCATAAACTACATACAAACAGTAAGTTATACTTTCTTACTATTTGATTTGTTGTTTACTAACATTAAGTGATTATCTTTATTAACTGCAATTTCTTCACTTAATTAAAGAAGTTATATTTGAACTATATATAACCTTTTAGTCATATGATGTATCTTTAGCTTTTTTTTTCATTTTTTTTCCATTTAATAGAATAAGACATGTCATTTTAATAATTTTACTTTTATTTCGATGGTACTTTTCCGATTAAGAACGCAATTATAAGCTACAGTTTATTTTACTTGATCAAATAAGTTTTACTTCAATTTATAAATTAGATATGTTACTATTTTTACTTTTTATTGTACTTTAATAATAAATCAAATAGGTATCTCTGAATTTATTATGATAACTTTTACTTGGCTGCTCTTTCTCGTCCTCGGATTATTGAGATAACTTGTATTGACTCCCATTCTCTGATTGGGCTTCCGCCTAGTCTTGAAAAATTGGCTTTGTACCATGTCTAGAAAGATCACCCTTTTCCAACTTGACAAGTCTGCCCATTTTGTGCATTTGTCAATGCCAGCTGAGGGAGGTCGCATTCGATGATGTGCTTAGACAGCAGCAGAAGAAACTTCATAGTTTGGATGTGAGGGATAGTGAATTGTTTGAGAAGCTGTCCGTATCAAGATCGAAGGAGTCCCGCGGGTTGAGCATGTTTAATTGACTGGGACTAATGGAGACTCGACAAGATGTGGAGAAATTGGAATCGCTAGAGGCATTATTAATTTACATATGCGATTTCTCAAAAAGATTGCCTAATTTATTTGAATCAAAGAAGCGACGTAAATTGAATCTCGCACATTATTCACCACGAAAACTCGCCCTATCTACATCATCTAGATGCCTAACATTTGACAGTTGAAGTACGCCGGATTTCACCTGCCTTCACAAATACTTAAAATGTTCTAAGCGGGTAATATTATTTTTTTGAATTTAAGATTTTAAGCTTAAGCAAAACGAATAATATTTACTTTTTTCGCAAGACATTGAATTTTATCCATAACAAATAATTATTCAAGAAAACGAGATACACCAACCAACGAATCACGAGCATCGGTTTTGAAATTCGAAACGTATCATTTTACCAAGTATCATCGGAGCTGCATATTTTTTCTATATTCTTTCTGATCCTATTCCTAGTCATTAAGGCATGTCACGTCTCACGGGTCGCCATCTGCATACAAATCATCGTGGGACTATTATCATCGCGATGACTCCAAGTCTCCAACTAGGATTAAAAAAAAAAAGAATGAATCACCTGATAATGCAATAAGATCAGCATTTTTCTCCAGGAGCCCTTGGACGCAACGTTGGTGAATGAATTCTCCGACGCATGCTGCCAAATGAATTGCACAAAGTAACAAGGATCGTACGCTTCTATGATTTGAATTGGTAACATCGAAAAACGAGAATTGCAGTAATGAACTACGTTCAATTGCTCGGCCAGAAACGACCGATTCACGTGGGAAAGGACAAATTTGCCGGCTTATGGCACTATAGGTACCAATGTCGAGTCAAGACTCCGTTTGAACAGTTCGTTCATTTTTCAGCATTTAGTTACTTAAGAAAACGAGTCAACAGAAAAAATTTTAACTTATGTTTAAATTTAGAAAAATAATTTTTTCTTTAAAAAATCAAAAATTATTTTCCAAATATATGACTATATATCAGCATTTAGGCCCGAAATTCTACGTTTAGGCACAGAACCTACAATGCTGGTTCTCGAGTCCCTAGTGTCCAGGACCAGGTCTCTAGTACTTGGACCCAAGTCCATCGAGGCTTGTGACCCTAGTGCACGTGCCCGGATCCCCTACGCCCTCGCTTGAGTCCATCGAGGCCGAGCTCGTGTCCCCGGTGCCCGTGCTCGGGTCCATTGAGGCCGGACCCAAGGCCCCGTTGCTCGTGCTCGATGCTACGACAACCAGCCTAGGTCCACAAAGGTCGAGCGCGGGATCCCAGTACCCAAGCTCGAATCCCCAACACCCGTGCCTGAGTCCACAAAGGCCATTTTCGAGTGCATTGAGGTCGAGCCCGGGACCTAGGTGCCCATGCCTCGATCCCAGTGCCCGAGTCGGGGTTCATTGAGGCCGGACCCAGAACTCTAGTGCCCATACCCAATTCCCCGACTACCCATGCGCAAGTTGCTAGCATCCAAATAGTGTATATTTATTTAGGAAAATCAAATCATATTTTCTATATCACGTGACCGAAAATTTTCTAGTTTATTTTCAAATTTTAGTCAAATACTGGAAAATAGTGTTATTGACTTTCTAAAAAATAATTTTAGAAATATCAAATTTTTCACGAAACAAACGGACTATAAATGTTATTTCTTTTTCTTCCTCCCCTTTTTTAACACAGGATATGGGAGGACCAGTGCTTATAATTAGGGGAAAATTCCAAATCAGTACCCAAAGTGGGCCTATTTTCTCAAAAAAGGGTCTAAAGTGGACATAATATCAAATAAGGGCTTGAAGTGCCCAATCAGTCTTAAATAGGAGCCCGAAGTGCCAATTTTAATCTCAAATAAGGGCCTGCGTTCGCCGGTCAATCAAATGATCACCGGTCGACGAGCACGTTACTGTTCTGGCGATCGGAACAAGGATAGTTTCGTCTTCTTTTTTTTTTACTTTTTCTGTTTTTTTCTTTTCCTTTTCCCTTTCCTTTTTTTTTTTTCTCTTTTCCCTCCGCCGGCTATGGCATATGTTCCGGTGAGCATTTGACCGGCCGGCTAACCCAGGCCCTTATTTGAGACTAATTGGGCACTTCGGGCCCCTATTTGAAACTGATTGGGCATTTCGGGCCCTTATTTGACACTATATTCACTTTGGATCCTTTTTTTAGAAAATGGCCCCACTTTGGGTACTAATTTGGAATTTTACCTATAATTAGGGATAAAGAGATATTACTTCTGAACCACCGCCCGCAGCGGCTGCGTTGGTTCGCGCTCTCTGCCCCTCACGAAGGGTGGGGAGTTCGAATCCCAGCCTAGTCGTTAGGGATTCTTAAGTGTGGCGCCATGGTGGTGGGTCCTGCTCTAGCGTTACCATGGGTTTACGTCGCCGGCCGTCAGCTGTACGGCGGTTCTCGGGTCATCAAAAAAAAAAAAAGATATTACTTATGCGGTTTACGTGAAACGGTGAATAGTGTTTGACAATGGCATGACATCGGAATCGCAGTGGGTGGGTGCAGTTCGCGTGCGAGTTTCAACTTTCAGGAATTTTCGCAGAACACCTCGGCGGTTCCCAAGTAAAGAAGCATAGGTTTCACCTGCCTAAGTCTAATTACATACACCGCAAAGAGCAGAAGAAGAGTGTTCATTAATGGGAATTTTATTGAGAAAGCAACAGTCTACATAGATACATGTTCCCAAATTTCAGGTGCCTGATTTCCGGGGACAAATCTCAGCCCTCAAGGGGTTCTTCATCACTATGGTGAACTCCTGCTTTTCAGACAGGTCCACCCCTTCGCCCGCGACCGACCTCCACTGGAACAGCCACACCAAGTTAGCCACGAAGTACTCCAAGTGCAGCATCGCAAGCCCGTACCCGGGACAGATCCTCCTCCCCACCCCAAAGGGCATCATCTTGATCTCCCTGCTCCCCGTGATGTCGAACCCCCCGGCTTCTTCTTCGCAGTTCAAGAACCTCTCGGGCTTGAACGCCATCGGGTCCTCCCAGACTGCCGGGTCCCAACCCATCTCCGCCACCATGAAGTTGATGCTCCCGTCCTTGGGGATCACGTACCCGCCCAGCTCCGTGTCCTCCGTCACAGCGTGCGGCACCACGAAGTGCGCCGGCGGGTGGCGGCGCAGCCCCTCCAGCACCACCGCCTTCAGGTAGTCCAGTCTCTGCAGGTCCTCCTCCTTCACCTGCTCCGCCCCTTGTCCCACGACCGATTTGATTTCATCGAAGAGCCTCTCTTGGATTTCTGGGTACTTGACCAGGTTGGCCATGATCCACTGCAGCGCCGTGGACGTCGTGTCGGTACCAGCGTTGAGGAACTCATTGCAGAGGCTCACTATCTCGTCCTCCTCCAGCTTCCTCTTCTCCTCCGGCAGCTCCAGGTCCAGGAGCGTGTCCACGTACGATAAGATCCAATCGCCGTCGCCATCATTCCCGTCCTCCTTGGCTTTGCTCAGCTGCTCTCGCTTGGGCTTGGATCGAGCTCTGATGAGCGGGACGAGGACGCGCTTCCGATTCTCGTGGAGCTCGTAGAACTCCTTCCACCGCTTCCGGAGCACGAGCTTGGTCAGCCGCGGCCAGAAATTGAGCACGTTGAACCGCCGCGCACCCAGAATCAACCGTCGCTGAACCCCCTCGATCTGCTTAATCTGCTGCTCCTCGAGCCTGTCTCCGAAGCACATGAGGACCAGCAAGCAGAACATGGCGTACTGGAAGTGGTCGACAACGCGGACGACGCCACCAGGCTGGGACTTGAGCTCCGCCACGAGGATGTCGAGGACCCACGCGCGGGCGCCAGAGTAGGACCGGACGCGGGAGGGATGGAGGATCTCCGCCGTGAGGTTCCGGCGGAGTAGGCGCCAGGTGGGGCCGTAGGAGGCGGAGTTGATGTTGTGCTGGTTGGAGGTGAGGATGCGGCGGATGGGCAGGGGCGGCGGGCGGTCGGCGAAGACGGCGCCGCGGTGG